GACGATGATTTGACTGAGCGCTCGGAAGATGTACTCGGTGCGTTAAGTAGATTGCTGTACTTAAGCGCGGTAAAATATTCAATTTGTAAAAACAGCAAGCAATTTTGAATTCGAGATTAAATACTAAATCCTGTAGCGGTAGAGTCGATTAAGCCTAGGCGCAGACCATCGATTTTTCGTCGGCCGATAGTTTAGTCGGGCAGTTGATTAGTATGGGCATGTATGGAAGTGCGCACATTACACCGATTTTTCATATGATTTAAAATCGGGCACAACTATCGGCCAACTAAAAATCGGTGATCTGCGCCTAGTCTAAAGGGCTCTTTCTCAAGAGACATTTCGTTTTTTGCTGAAACTGTGTGCTTACCATGAGTTTACGTTAGGTGTGCTCGCTAGCAAGTACGCCAAAAAATCTATGAAGATTTAATTTCTTGAAAGTAGCCGCTAGCGCTGCACAATATGTCATACATTTATTGTCATTTTTTTACGCAGTCGCTAGCGAACACACCTAACGTAAACTCATGGTAAGGACACTGTTTTTGTAGGATCAAGAAAAATCGATTTTCGAATTTGGGATTCGAATTTCAAACACACACAGAGTCCAGTTTGCGGGATCCTGCATTACTGGATCCCACATAAGTGAATTGCCGTGGGAAAGGGTCCTTATATTTAATCGAGTAAGTGATAATAATATAGGGTGTATATTATAAAATTATATCGACACCTTCAGGTTCAATTGTCGTATAAACCATTTTGGCCAAATTGAGTTATACGAGTATATACCATTTTAATCAGAATTTTTTTCTCTATCGAGCTGTATATTCGATATATTGAAATTCGCTAAAAAAATGTTTATACGCCCCAAAAAACTATAGCCTAAAAGACAAATAAATACCTTATAAACGATGTAAAAACCGAATGCTTGTATTTGGTATTTTTGCTAAGATGTATCAACCATACTTTTTTTTTAAGCCAGGATGTAAAACTCTCTCGTAATTGAAAATGGTTTTTACGCCCAAAGGCATATGGCCAGATATTTGGATCCAACGTCGTAAGTCCACGTATTCAATATGGTAATTATCTGTTTCATATTCATTTGTTTATTGCATCAAATATGTATGTATGGACAGTACGTAAGTTTTTCTTAATTAAAAAGTTAAATAAAGTTGATTGTTTCTACTTTTAAAGATAATAACTAGATAGGTAGGTATATAAGGTTGCTTTCCAGGTCCAGTACATTCATTAATTGATCTCGACTAAATGTGATGAATTCAAGACTTTTTAAACAAATAAAACAAGCCATAGTGTGCTCATGAAGGCAATTTATACCCTTTTGATATGCTCTGTAATAATTTATTACTTTACAAGTACTATTAGGGATGATGACTAGGTAATGAAATCGAAATTCTATTTAGTCCGTCAGACAGATAATTAGAAAATATTACTCATATTTTTTTTCCATAATCGAATAATTACAGTGTTATATTGAGTTGAAATGTCGCGTGACGTCACTTTTGAGTAAAAATTCTACTCTAGCGTGACGTATCGCGCCATTTCAACTCGATGTAGCACTGTTATTATTTAATTATGAAAGAAAATAAAAATATGAGTCTAATATTTTCTAATTATCTGTCCGACGGACAAATAATTGAAATTTTGTCATCTAGCCTTTACTTTTAGCTGTAATTTAAATTTGGGTTTCTTGTAAAGATATAAATTCCTTAGAGAAATTCTCAAAAAATTACAAATCCTTATCCTGAGCATACTGGGGCTCTTCTCTTTATGCAAAATTTATCATAACCAAACGAATTCAATATGCGTCAGCAGAGAACCAGGAAAGCTGTCTTAATGTTTTGCTGTAATTGTATTTTTTGTTCAAAATTTATGGTGATTACTTTAGTTTAAAATTATTAGTTTTGCCATAATTTTCCTGCAAAATTGTAAAAAAAACCAACAAACTTGTTATTTTTCGTATGCAAGCAAATTTATTATTTCTACCTCAACCAAATATAGTTTTTACACTGTTAAATATCTTTGTGCAAATTCTCTAAACAACAAAAGCCTGGAAATAGTAAACAATACATTATTAACATGTATAGTTTTAATAATACATTTGAATAAATCACTTTATCAATGGGTATATAAACCAAAAAAATTACATCTAATGGTCTTTAAGCCATCAATTTCAGTCTCGTGTTTACTAAAAAATCAAATACGACGTAAAGAGTTATTTTTAGGTCCAATTTAATTGGTCGTATAAACCACCGAGTGCCTTTTTTAAGGACGTAACTCCAAGCTAACTTTAAAACTACTGAAGATACCCATTTTTTAAATATCTAGACTTTTTCATCGCAAGAATTGAAAAATGTTTTCTCTTGGTCATTTTTTTATAACTTCTCAAATAAAAAAGTTACGATTTTTTTATTTAAAAAAAAAAACGTTTTTTGGCTCTCCTGAAAAGTAGGGTTTTGGTTTATACGACAATTGAACCTGAAGGTATCGATATGCTTCAGGGGACATAAAGTTTGACGGAATACACGTAAAGTATGATCAGTCGTCCCGTGAATAGCACCCGAGGGAACTGGCGAAAGATCTAGCACTTAAGTAGTACCTACTTGGTGGCTGTTAAGTGCCATTAATAATAATAATAATAATAAATCATTTATTTGCCAGAATACGGTTACAAATGGTTTTAAAAAGAGAAGTTTCCAACATATTCTATCGTACATACGATGTGCAAATATTACAAAAAATACGGTTATGTTTTTAATATTAAAAAGTAGTATCATTATTAATTGAATGTCATGCAAATGTCAGTGTTCATTTACCAAGAACTTACACGTAACTATAATTCACATTGCACAGTTCAAGTTTGCAGTATTAGTAGGTTATGCATATCCTTTGCAAAAAGGGATAGAGAGAAAACATAATATAGAAAACAAAACATTATCTCGCAAGTTTTAATGTGTTCTTTAAACTCTTCAAATAGATAGTTAACATATTAATTACACACACAAAATCACTTAACCTAAAGAGCTAAGTCTGAAATATGTCAAAGTCTCATATAAAACCAAAATACACCAACCATTATCTACACTGTTTTAAATATGTTAATTATTTAGGTAGTAATTAACGTGTTTTGTCACAAATACCGCTAAAGTCTTTTAAAAGCCTTGAGCCTGCATCTAATTTGCAATGATAAAGTATTCCGCTTTCGGTGGGCCTTTTAAAATTAATTTACTGAATTAAGCGTGGAGATGACTGTACCGAATTATAATTAAGGTCATCTCCAGTTCCGGAGTAATGTAATGATTCTTTTTCCTTCGATAATACATTTTTGATTGAGGCAAAAAGTGAAGATCTTATGATTGGTAGATCGGCCTCGAAAAGTTTTGAGGTATCGACTCTACCTATCTTTCTGTTATCTTTTACGCAGATAAGCGTACCATCCCTATATTGTTGACATTCCACCAGCTCGCTTTTTTTTATCACCAGGACCTCACGAGTAGTCGCAGTAACTGGATCGCGCTGCGCGAGTTCGCGCACTCCTGGCACACAATCAGGCGAAGTTATGAGAAGAAGTGATGACATTTATCAACGATAGCAGCCCGACGCGAAGTACCGTATTTGTGGTGTCAAGCCCCAGAAGGGGGAGAATTGACTATGAGAAGGGACATGGATCAGATAAATTTGTAGGGAGTCAAGCAAAGCGCCCGGGGAAAAGAGCCCAGAGCAAGTACCCGCGCGCTCTCCCGAGATTCGGTTCGTACGCCGTGAGGCAGGAAGAACCATGGGTGGTGGTGGGTTATTCCACCAGCTCGCACTAAGCGTTTCGACGACTCTTTTATAATGCGAACAGCTAGGGACTGGAATTCGTTGCCTGCTGCTGTCTTTCCCGAAGACTATAATCCGGGCCATTTCAAGGCGAGAGTGAAAGGCACATACAGGGCAGATATGTACCATCCTAGACTGCATCCCACTTAACATCAGGTGCGATTGTGGTCAAATACCTGCCTTGTTATGCATAAAAAAATAGACCACCAAATTTCTTCAACCTGATAAAGGTAGCGGGAAGGCGCTGGATGCAGGCCGCTACCAACCGTGCGATGTGGAAGTCATTGGGGGAGGCCTATGTTCAGCAGTGGACGTCCTGTGGCTGAAATGATGATGATGATGATGAAATTTCTTCAAACCTTTATACAATTTATGAAGGGCAAGTGTGTAAGTCACTTTTTTAATATACCTATATTCCACACACATAAATAAAACCAAATTCTATCATGATCACCGATCGTAAAGAACAAAGTTCAAACGTTTATTTAGTATGAACAAGATAGAGCAAAAGTTGATTTAAATATAGATGAGCGTATTGTATTAAGTTTCATGAATATTGTATTCGTATGAGATATACTTAATTTTAAATACACCAAACAACAAAATGATTTTTTGATTTGAATTTGAGTAGATGTGACTGCATTGACAAATAGTTTGACTAATTTAATTTGCTAAGTAATCAATTACTTTGAATCATAATATGGGGTGGTTGACTTCTAGCATATCTTGAATGCCATATCAAAATGCGTACGTAATTAGAATCTAAACAATTGAGTAAGCAAACTTATTAAATCAATATACATTGTACATTGACAATAGCACGAGTGGAGAATTCGTCGATGCTGCCTAAACTACTTTTTATTTTATTTATTTATTCATAAATTGCAATTTAATAAATAGTTACCTTAAGAAACTTAAAACTAGTCTAAGATACTTATGTACTATGTACACCCGGTTGGGTACAGCAATCCACTCTAATACAATATAAAATATTATAAAATATTATAAGTACCTACTTTCAAACTTATATTAAACAGTACTTACTATTTTATTATACAATGATATAATAATGTGGATTGATACTTTCGGGGTTATAATACTGTTTCACTGATACATGGTAGAGATTCATACAAATAATACCATCTAAGCCTGCACAAAAGATCGCAATGGCGCGAGGTGAGGTGTGCTCCTATATGTATAAGATAAGCCTGCTGAAAATCGGCGCCTTTTTCAGTTAGATCTACATATTATTATATTCGAGATCTACATATTATCTGTCAGGTAACTAGGTTCGTAACAAATTATATCAGCAGGTGAGGAACAAGATATAAACCTTTTTACAGACAAAAAGTAGACAACAAAATTGATATGGAATATTACTCTTTATTGAGTCATAAATCAATTATCTGCATCCATGTTATTGTATTGTTGTGTCTCGTAGGTAAGTTATTAGGTATAGGTTACGTCATACCGACTATTAAAGTTCATTAAAATTATCTTTAGAACCCTATCAGGTGTAAGTAAAGTTCTTATTTCTTTACAGACACTGATAGCTGGAAAATCCCCGATATTATTTACTCACCATTTTAAACGTAACGTTTTTATGTGCATTTTCAGTTAAAATCGAAGTGCAAATTAGTCTCTACATAAAGAGACATATAATGGCGTTATAAAAGTAGACTTTGTACTACCTAAAATAGAAGACTCATATAATGAGATTTCCACTTTAGTCATTCAGTAAGAAGTTTTAAGTACCTAAAATTGGTCACATATTAGACGTAATGTGTACCAAGAAATTTGTAATTGATTTACCATTTAGGGAGTAACAAAAAACTGTTGTTATTGTATACTTTTATCCTTATTGTGAACATTTTTTTACATGAGACTAAGGTTACTTTGTCTATATTTACGGTACCGTAATACCTACTCTATCTTCGAAGCTATCTTCTTAGATCGGCATTCATATCATCATCATCATCATTTCAGCCATAGGACGTCACGTCCCAATGATTTACATCTTGATCGGTTGGTAGTGGCCTGCGTGCAGCGCCTTCTTGCTACCTTTATGATGTCGTCGGTCCACCTTGTGGGTGAACGTCCTACGCTGCGTTTTGCAGTACGCGGCCTCCAATCAAGATCTTTGCTGCTCCATCGGCTGTCAATCGGCCGGCGTTCATATCATCTATATATATAAAAGAAAGTCGTGTTAGTTACTTCGCTTATAACTCAAGAACGGCTGAACCGATTTAGCTGAAAATTGTCAGGGAGGTAGTTTAGAGCCAGGAGAAGGACATAGGATACTTTTTATCCCGTTNCGTTCTGTATGATATTGGGGCGTCTGTGCCACAGGGATCTGTGCTCGGTCCTGTGCTATATTCTATATACACAGCGGACCTACCATGCAATACAGATGTAGTAACAGCGACATATGCAGATGACACCGCATGTCTTGCAAGTCATAAAGATCCGGCTTTGGCATCAGAAAAACTACAAAATCACCTGTATGAAATTGACGAATGGCTGGAAAAGTGGAGAATAAAGCCAAATGTTACTAAATCTCTACAAATAACGTTCACACTCCGCAAAGGAGACTGCCCAGCTGTAACGTTACGGGGGCAACAACTGCCTACAGAAAATTGTGTAAGATACCTGGGACTCCATCTAGACCGGAGGTTAACCTGGGCAACCCATATAAAAACAAAGAGAAAAGAAGCAGATTTACAATTTAAGAAGTTCTACTGGCTGATTGGGAGACAATCATCCCTCAGTTTAAACAACAAAATGCTGGTCTANGTCTGCTTATTTATTGCCATTAAGGCGAAACAAAGTTCGCCGGGTCAGCTAGTTAGTTATATTGTAAAGTACTGAATCAAATCATAATATCTAAGAGTCGTCTCAATTTCTACTTGAGAATTCTCTTATTTTTATTTCTTTACCCCTTTGATCATCCCAAGTTTAAGTTCTTCACTTGTTTCCTTCAATAAGACAGCTGTATTAGTACACGACAAACAGCCAAGTGGGTATTAATTTTAACTTGGGCCTGTTTGGGTTGTTTTGTGCCCCAGAGGTCAAAGTTTATAATTGTAATACTGAAATGTTAATCAGAAACTCTGAGCCAATCCCCAAGTTTGATAAGCAAATATGCATTAGTATTGTCGGATGGTGCGTGAGCGGGAGTGTCTATGGACGCAGCGAGTCAACAACATAGCTTGGTACCATAGAGATCTGAGATGCCAACTAATGCGCCGAGTTCGAAACCCAGTGTCGCATTTGAAATTCACACACACAAAGTAATCAAAATAAAAACAATACGTCGCGAACAGTGTATATCATGCACACATCGCATTTAGAGCTACTATTCGTTCGCATACCATGGCACGTATCTTCCCTATAAGTGCCTATTCACTTTCGCCTTGAAAAGGCCCGGATTATAATGTTCTGGAAAGACAGACAGCATATTAACATGCACATTTTTAATATAGGTCTTTTAATTTGGTGTTGGGGGCGTTGGGGCTTTTGGCAAGATGCCGTATTAAAGGCACTTAAATCGTGCCTAAACAACATTCAACAATCAATTATGTTAAGTACGTGCTAAACAGTAGATGCGATTATGCGACTTTATCTTAACTGGCCAGCGATAAAGAACTACTGATTCGTAGCTTACTGTAGTGGAAACACTACTTTGCAGCAAAAACTTAATTAAACAAAAACATATCAGGTGAGATGATTCCTCGTTGTGGATAAAAAAAAATGAAGAGTCATTTCTTTTTTATGACGTAAAATAAGCCAGGGATTTATTTACATTACCCTTTCACTGTGCAAAAACGAGACACAATAGCAAAACAATTGACCGCACCGTGACCCACATGCAGTTCACTGCTCTGTCAATGTAAATCTTCAGGGCAACCTCGCTCCGTCATAGTTCGCATTTTAAGTAGAGTGCAAAAGCAATAAAATAAGTATCATTTTGGCCTCATAATTATTATTATAGGTATAGCATCTGTAAATGTGTGCTTACCAGGTTTCTTCTTTGTTACTTTCGCTCAATTTCAATAAATGAGCTGTTTCCTCTAGCATAATTTTTATTTTACCATGCCACCTTGCTAAAGCTGCAGGATTGTATACTCCCTAAGTGAAATTATTACCAAGAACATTACTTCACTACATAAAAATATGATTAACTAAGAGCTTCTTGAAGAGTGATTTGTCATTTCAAGGTTACCGCTTGGTGCTCGCTTCAAGGGTAGACCCACCCTAAGGACTTGTATTAAAGCCTGCTTACAGACTTGACGATCTTAGTTTGTTTTTACTTTGTGATTTAGACAATGTAAAGTAATAATCCTCTCTAAAACTAGTAGTTAGTTTACATTCTCAATTTTAGTTTCATTTTGTCATTATAATAGTCGTAGAACTAATTTCAGCACTAGACTCAAACTTTACAAGCTTTATTGCTAGAATTTCAATCGAGTTTTGAACTACGTTTAATGTACGTAATGTATATGAGTCATGCTAATGTTTATGTCAACGTGAAATTGCGAACTCTGTCAGTTTATAATATAACGCGTTAGATTGTAAATCACAGTGGGTTAGGTTAGGTTAGATTGTAATTTAACTACGTCAGATTATAATCTGACGAAATTCACAATTTTACGGTGACATTTATATCGTATTCTAGCTGATTTCTTAATTCAATTTACAGTATCAAAATAGTATCAAGACGTGTGTTATATTAGCACATTTTATTTTTGTAAGCAGCCTCAGAAAATATTAATAGAATTTTCCACAGAAATCAGCTAATGCGTATGCGTAATTTATTGCATCATTTTAACTTAAATATACGCTTGCGGCTCTACCTGTGTTATGATTGTGTTGTGAACCTTATTAAGAATATCCTCGTTCTAAACGAGCCCTTTAAATTGTGATAAAAAAATCTGCTATCCTCAGGCAAAGGTGCAACGAAATAAATTAGTTCTCAGATTGAATTGGTAAATATGACGTCATAAGTTGTTATTGCTATAAAAAGTAGAATTGCTTGCGTTAGCCTAATTCATAATCAAATAATAGATCAACAACAAAAGTAAAATGGTAATTCCGAAGAAACGAAACGTCCGCGCGATTTAAATTTGTACAACGCCATCTATTTGCAACTAATCGAAACCAAGGCACCCAGTACTCGAGTCTACAATATCAGCTGGCCACTTGCCCAATAAACCAGCGTACTCCAGTTTCCAACTGGAATTTGCATAAAGTAGCATTCCAGTCGCACGGGATTATCCAAACTCTGCTGGCCACCAGGATATGTAAATCATGGACAGGTAGCGCAACTTTGGAAAATTATCAACTTATTCGTTTTCCATTACTAATACAAGAGTAACTTTTGCTCGTGGATTCACATGAGAATTTTCGTGCCGTACATTTTGCCTAACAGCTAATATGGTTTGATGGTTCGCGTACCAGCTGAGGTTGTGGTTTTAGTCCCATGAGGGGTTAATTAAATTCAACTTCGAAATGTTCGAAATCTGCCCATAATTTATTAATATTTATAATCCCTCAGAATGTACAGTTAGGTACCTACGAGTAAATAGTGAGGAAAAGGTAATGAGTAAAAGGAATATCAAACTAACTGAAAACTCTGCCATACCATAAGCATTAAGTTAATAAAATTAGTTGCATAAAACAAACATCGAAACATTTCGGCTTTATTTATTTATTTATTTATTTACACTTTTGCACATACAACTGTACAGTGGCGGACTTAATGCCAGGTGGCATTATCTGCCAGTCAACCACAGGTCAAGTAGAGAGACTAAGGCGGTGCAATAAATATGATGTTTAATTAATATACTTACATAGCATTAGATAAAATAAATAACATAAGAATACATATTAATATAATAGACATACACCTACATACATAAACATAATAATAATATTGGCGTACCTACACAAAACACATGTCGGAGATAAGAAAAAAGTTTTAGTCTTTAAAATAATTGCGCAGAGCCTTTTTAATTTATGCACTCCTATTGTAAGTTTTTTTTTAGCGAGCTTGATTTGAATTCTTACTCGGTAGAATCTGACTCAACATCGTCTTAACAATAAGGAAAAGATTCGTAAAAATTAGGACTGCCGATCCCTCTTCATGCCGGGCAAGCAAGCACAATTTATTTTTACTT